GAGTGATACTGACAATGGCAGCGCTGTAGCAGGGGGACAGCTGAAAACGGAGGCCCCCACCAATATATATATAGGACTTTTGTCCTATTCACTTAAAGAAAAATAAAAACACTTTAAAATGATTTCTTCTTATAAGTGTAAAAAATAAAATCAAAGACAAAGAAAAAAACAATAGAAAAGTTTTTTTTTCACCAGGGTTACCTCTACACACAATTAACAATGAATAAAGGTTATTTTTCTTATTTTACTGTCTGACCTACTGGGCTTGGTGACTCTGTGCATCAGCAGAAATGAGCTCTCTAAATCTCCTTGTATTACTATTAGCATGTTTAAATTAATTGTAGCTACGTAGTCCTTGAGTGTTTTGAATAAGAAACAGAATATTGTTGTGATTAATATTAAAGAAGGTACTGCTTGTTAAAAATGGGGTTTTCTGTTTTTACCCTGTGCGTTCCTTTTGTCCATCCAGGAACTCGGCCACACAAATGCACAGATTGTGACATGGCTTTCGTGACCAGCGGAGAGCTCGTTCGTCATCGTCGCTACAAACACACACACGAGAAACCCTTCAAGTGTTCCATGTGCGACTACGCCAGTGTGGAGGTAGATGAATCCTTTTTTAGTAAAGTTTTATTTATAAAGCACCTTTCATAGAAATAGATTCACAAGGTGCTGTACAATCAGAGGGAAATCTAAAATATATACAATCATAACAGGATATACAAAAATTTGGAACAAAAAAGCTGTTAAAGTATCAAGACGAATCCGAAAAATAAAACAAGTAAATAATATCTAGACAAAAATGGGGAGGGCAGATTAAAACATTAACATATTAAGATGAAGGATTTTAAATCAGAACTTAATTTGGCGGCATGTCTCTGAATGGATAGATTGTGGAGTACTGGTACATTTTAGAAAAATACATTTTTGATTAATTGAAATGATTTTGGATGAAAATACAGGCTGTTTGACATATATTAATTTGATGAATTGTTCGGTCAGTAGGTAGGGTTTGGTGAAACAGACACTAAAAGGTCAGGCTGCAGAAAAATGCTGAAATTGGTTAGTTAAAAGCTTGTTTAAAGAGGTGTGTTTTCACATATTTCTTGAATGAATCAATGCTTTCAAGCGTGCGCAGATGGATAGGAAGTTCATTCCAGAGCCTGGGGTCCATGGAGGAGAAGGCTCGGTCACCACGGGTCTTGAGACGTGTGTGGGGAACCATTAGGAGATGTTGATCCTGTGAGCGTTTGGGGTTGAAAGGGGAGATGAGACTTTTAATGTAGTCAGGCGACTGGCCATTAAGAGCTCTGAAAGTGAGGACCAGGATTTTGAACTTGATTGGAAAATGAACAGGGAGCCAGTGAAGCTCTGAAAGGATCGGGGAGATGTGTGAGAATTTTGAAGTTCTGGTTAAGAGTCTTGCTGCAGAGTTTTGTACGAGCTGAAGGTGATTTATCCGTTTCTGGTTCAGACAGGTGAACAGGCTATTACAATAACTTTTTAATTTTAATTTTTTTCTTTTTAATTTTCTTTTTATATTGTTTTATTTTATCGACCTGTACTTTCTGTTTGTTTTTAAGGTGAGTAAACTGAAGCGCCACATTCGTTCCCACACTGGTGAGCGTCCGTTCCAGTGCAGCCTCTGCAGCTATGCCAGCAGAGACACGTACAAGCTGAAGAGACACATGAGGACACACTCAGGTAAAAGTCACATCTTCTTAAGGCATTCTAAGGTGGGAGATATAATCAGATTTGTTTTGGGTAGACTTTCATTTGACTCTTCATTGTGTATTTTGTTCAGATTATTTAACGACATAAAACTGTCTTTTTAACATTCAGTAAGATGTGTTTTCATTCCTCCTAAGCAGATTTTTTGTTGGTTTGTTTTCCTGGTCTGGATAGAGATAGGAAATATAGAAAAACAGTTGTGTTTTCAGCCTGTGTTTTCTTGTATAAGATAAAAATCTAGATTTATTAAGAAAATAATTTTTTTTCCATGTTAGTTGTAAATAAAAGTCAGACATAATGTCAAACATTTACGTAACATACAGTGGGGAAAATAAGTATTTAGTCAGTCACCAATTGTGCAAGTTCTCCCACTTAAAAGATGGGAGAGGCCTGTAATTGACATCATAGGTAGACCTCAACTATGAGAGACAAAATGTGAAAAAAAAATTGGGAAAATCATTTTGTCTGACTTTTAAGGATTTTTTTGCAAATTATGGTGGAAAATAAGTATTTGGTCAATAACAAAAGTTCATCTCAATACTTTGTTGTATATCCTTTGTTGGCAGTGACAGAGGTCAAACGTTTTCTGTAAGTCTTCACAAGGTTGGCACACACTGTTGCTGGTATGTTGGCCCATTCCTCCWTGCAGATCTCCTCTAGAGCAGTGATGTTTTGGGGCTGTCGGCGGGCAACACGGACTTTCAACTCCCAAAGGTTTTCGATGGGGTTGAGATCGGGAGACTGGCTAGGCCACTCCAGGACTTTGAAATGTTTCTTACGAAGCCACTCCTTTGTTGCCCTGGCAGTGTGCTTGGGATCATTGTCATGCTGAAAGACCCAGCCACGTTTCATCTTCATTGCCCTTGCTGATGGAAGGAGGTTTGCACCCAAAATCTCACAATACATGGCCCCATTCATTCTTCCATGTACACGGACCAGTCGTCCTGGTCCCTTTGCAGAGAAACAGCCCCAAAGCATGATGTTGCCACCCCCATGCTTCACAGTTGGTATGGTGTTCTTTGGATGCAACTCCGCATTCACTTTCCTCCAAACACRACGAGTTGTGTTTTTACCAAATAGTTCTACTTTGGTTTCATCTGACCATATGACATTCTCCCAATACTCTTCTGGAACATCCAAATGCTCTCTAGCAAACTTCAGAYGTGCCTGGATATGGACTGGCTTAAGTAGGGGGACACGTCTGGCACTGCAAGATCTGAGTCCCTGGCGTCGTAGTGTGTTGCTGATGGTAGCCTTTGTAACATTGGTCCCAGCTTTCTGCAGGTCATTCACTAGATCCCCCCTTGTGGTTCTGGGATTTTTCCTCACCGTTCTTGTGATCATTTTGACCCCACGGGCTGAGATCTTGCGTGGAGCCCCAGATCGAGGGAGATTAGTAGTGGTCTTGTATGTCTTCCATTTTCTGATTATCGCTCCCACAGTAGATTTCTTCACACCAAGCTGCTTGCCTATTGCAGATTCAGTCTTCCCAGCCTGGTGCAGGTCTACAATTCAGTTTCTGGTGTCCTCCGACAGCTCTTTCGTCTTCACCATAGTGGAGTTTGGAGTGTGACTGTTTGAGGTTGTGGGCAGGTGTCTTTTACACCGTTAACGACTTCAAACAGGTGCCATTAATACAGGTAATGAGTGGGGGAAAGAGGAGCCTCTTAAAAAGAAGTTACAGGTCTGTGACAGCCAGAAATCTTGCTTGTTTGTAGGTGACCAAATACTTATTTTCCACCATTATTTGCAAAAAAATTCTTTAAAAGTCAGACAAAATGATTTTCTCAAATTTTTTTTTCACATTTTGTCTCTCATAGTTGAGGTCTACCTATGACGTCAATTACAGGCCTCTCTCATCTTTTTAAGTGGGAGAACTTGCACAATTGGTGACTGACTAAATACTTATTTTCCCCACTGTAACGTTTATAAGTGATACTTTTTAAAATATTTGAAACAAAACTGTAGCAGGAAATAATAAATTTTCCTATGAATAATTTTATGAAATAATAAAAACTTTTTTTTTATTTTGGTAGAAATCCTCTCCACATTAAGTAAAACTAAAACTACCATATAAACAAATGATTTGTTGGTCAAAGGTATCGATTGTTGTACTTGATGCAGAATAATACAACACATTTCCTGATGTGAAAATGGAAAATTTATTGAAGATGTTGCAGCGGACAACCCAGTTAAATAAAATATGATAAATAAAAAAATGAGTAATAAATAAAGTATGATAAATGTACCTTTACATTCCCAGTATAAAGTGTGTAATAGTAAATTTTCCACATGTTGAATGTTCTTAGGAGAGAAACCTTACGAGTGCTACATCTGCCACGCCCGATTCACCCAGAGTGGGACCATGAAGATGCACATTCTGCAGAAACACACGGAGAATGTGGCCAAATTCCACTGCCCACACTGCGACACGGTCATCGCACGCAAGAGTGACCTGGGTAAAACACACACCTGAGGGGAGGAAGTAGTCCTGCTTTTTACCTTGTTTCACTTTTGATTTTAATTTGTCTGTCAAGGCGTGCATCTTCGCAAGCAGCACTCGTTCATTGAGACTGGAAAGAAGTGTCGTTACTGCGACGCCGTTTTTCACGAGCGCTACGCTCTGATCCAGCATCAGAAGTCCCACAAGAATGAGAAGAGGTTCAGGTGTGACATGTGTGACTACTGCTGCCGCCAGGTTCGTTTCTAACTTCATTCTAACCTGCTGTTAGGACGCTGAGGCGTCAACATTGTGTCATAATGTTTAGTGTTATAGATAAAAAGTGGAGTTACCTTTTATTTCATCTGTGGTTAATTAAAACACAACTTTTACTGTATTTCTTTTCACATTTTATTTCTTGTATTTTTAATTGGAACATGTTTTTCTGTTCTGTGTTGCTTTTAACTTTGCATAAAGTTTGGATCAATTTAATTGGAAAAAAAAGTTCTTTGGTTGTATTTTATTTTTAGTTGCATTTTCTTAATAATCTTTCTGGAGTAAGAAAGTCTGACTTTGTGTTATAGTGAATATCATTTGACATCACGTCTACCTCAGACCCTCCCTACTAATGAGGGTGGGTTTGTGTCTCAGGGAAAATGAGTTGGTTTAAAACAAATATACTCTATAAAATCTTCAAACATAATGTTGAAGTTTCATTCAACAGAAGTGTTTTCATTCAGGGATGTAACGGTGTTGTAATGTAGACTGAACTTGTTTACATTGTGAGAGGATCACATAGTAAGTTAACAATCCTCCGACGTGTTAAAATAAAATCTCATGATTTACTAAACTCTGTTTTGTAATTTAGGAGCGCCACATGGTAATGCATCGCCGCACCCACACTGGAGAGAAACCGTACGCATGCAGCCAGTGTGAGAAGACCTTCAGACAGAAGCAGCTCCTGGACATGCACTTCAAACGCTATCATGACCCCAACTTTGTCCCCACTGCTTTTGTTTGCCCCAAGTGTAACAAGACGTTCACACGCAGGGTAAGGACACACTGGATTAAACTGAGCTCAGAATTAGTAGTCTGGAGCAGTGTTTCCCAAAGTTGGGGTCGGGACCCAAAGTGGGGTCCTGAAACATCAAGGTGGGGTCCTGAAAAAAGTTTCTGAATTAATTAGATTTTTGCCTTCGTTGTTACAAAGGTGTGAGTTTAGTATATTTAAAATGGATAAATGTAGTATAAAAATATTTTTACAATGCCCATGTTTTGTTGATCTGATACAAATGTTTATCATCCAAAAATAGCTGGGGGCACAGGTCTCTGCTGCTGTTATTTTGTGGGTCAAAAGCTGAAAAGTTTGGGAACCACTGGTCTGGAGTATCAGGCAGAAGTTGGACTTTGACCAAAGCAGATTTTTGCCTTTTAAAAAAATAAATCTGATAAAACTCAAAGGAATTAATTTGAACTCTGTTTAAAACCTCTCCACTGTTTGCATTAGATGATTTTTTAAAGTCTGTGGCTGTTCTGCAGCTACTTACCATCATTCATATTAATCTAATGTTGCAGAACAGTGGCCCAGATTGACTACAAATAAACTTTTTGACTTTTTGCATCTGTTTAATTCACAAAAGTCCTCGTTAAGTCAACTTTACATCTTAAACTTGGCTGTCAATCATGCAGAGTCTCTGCTCTGCTGCAGTCTACCCACTTTTAACAGTCCACTTAGCCTCATTAACATTATTGTGTGTTTTTTTAAAGAACACCATGGCTCGCCACTCAGAGAACTGCAGTGGGGAAGTGGAGGATGCAGAGAATGGAGGTCTGAGCCCAAAGAAGGGGAGGCGAGGAAGAAAGAAGAAGATGAGGAGCAGGAGAGATGAAGACGACAGCGGTATTTCAGGAGCAAGTTTTGTTGCGATGCTTTGTCTGCTGATCACATCGTCTAAACCTGTCTGCTGTTTCTCACCGTCACTCAGAGGACGACCAGCCTGAAGCAGAGGAGGACGACGACGACGAGGGCATGGAGGAAGCTGCGCTGCTACAGGAAGAGGATGAGCCTGAAGGCATGGAACTGGATCAAGCCCCCGCTGCCATCCCTGTGCCCGCTCCCGATGAGCCGCCGGTGAAGAGGAAACGAGGCCGACCCCCAAAGAACCCCCCGAAGCCTCCAACACCCAGCAAGTTGATGAAAACTGCCGTCCTGTCACCTGCTGCTGGTGAGAACACTCAGAGTCCACAGTGTTTGCGTTTAGGATAAAGCTCTGCTTCCTGTTTTAAACTGAACGAGACTAAACACAGGTCTAAAGTTAAAGGCTCAGCGTTCATTTGTCTCAGATTCAAATCTAAACTCTGATTTGTTTTAGAATAAACTCCTCTTAAAATGAGAATAAATGGAGTTGTAGCTGTTTCCTTCAAACACTGTAAATGTTAAAATGATAATCAGGCTAACATTAATTAGCTTACAGGTATGTTGGTGCTTGCCTTGTTTCCTATTTACAACAGAGTTTCCTATTTATTTATTTTCCTATTTATTTCCTATTTAGAACAGAGTTTGGCATATCATCTGTGTGTGTGTTAATATAATGTACATGATAAACCCTTTTTATGATGAAATAACAAATATATTTCTAATATTTATACCTAACTACGTAAGAAAACCGTTTCAAGGTTTCTCCAACCCAGAATCGTTGTTGAGCCTCAGAGCTCGTTACTGCCCTCTGGTGGAGAAATAAATGTTATAGAAGGTATTCGTTTGTTATTATTACTAGAGGTGTCAAGTAACTAAGTACAAATACTTTGTTACTTTACTTAAGTAAAAATTTTGTTATTTATTCTTTAGTGGAGTAAGTACTTTCTACTCCTTACTTTTTAAAAATACAAAAAGTATTTAATTTCTATTTAACTTTGACTTGATTTTATTCCATCTTTTCATTGTTCAGAAAATACATAAATAAATAAATAGAAAGAAATTTATCCAGATACACGGAGCCCTTGGACAGAGTGAATTTGATTGTGGTTGGATGAGAAGTGTAAATATAAACCATTCTGACATCCTGTTGGATTGAACTCACTCCATCACACCTGTATGACACAAATCACATCACATCCAGCAGGACAGACTGTAGCTGATGTAGCCTAAATGAAGATGATCGTGGCTGAAACAAGTGTTCTAGTCAGTTCAGTCCAAATTTATTAACATTAACATTTTAATTTAACATTATACTCATTATTGACTTTAGAAGAAAAATAGGGGCGGGGCTTGTACGCTATAGAACCCTGTGGCACAGCCACAGCTTTTATCCTTAATGGCTATTTTAAGTGTTCATTACTTTTACTTTTATACTTTAGGTAGTTTTAAAACCAGTACTTTTGTACTTTTACTTGAGTAAAAAGCTTGAGTTGATACTTGTACGTAAGTAACGAATGTGAATACTTTTGACACCTCTGGTTATATTACCTGTATGACTGGAGCACAGATATCACTTTAAAAACCAACGAGTGCAGCAGCTTCCACTTTTATGACTCGGTTGCCTTTTTACTAGTTTCAAATCTGTTGACGTCTTCAGGTGAAGGAAATGTTGATGCTAACGCGTGTTTGTCGTCTCGTAGACGCTGCCATCATTCAGGACGAGGACGAGGGCACCGAGGCGGTGGAGGACATGGTCCTGAAGAAGGAGGAGGAGGAGGAGGACCCGGCGGGGGGCGTGACCCTGACTGTGGAGGAGGGGGTGTCGGGTGACGTCGGGGTGGAGACTGTGGAGCTTTCTGTGAGTGAGGAAACAGCAGCAGCTGCTGCCAACGGAGATTTAACACCTGAGATGATTCTGAGTATGATGGACCGGTGAAGGCTGCGCACACACACACACACACACACACACAGGTCATAGCAGCCATTTTTAATCGATGATGATGACATAAAAAAAAACACCGCGTACAAAAAGCTGTATGTAAATATTTACACACACAATTTTAATATTTGTTTAAATCAGTCCTAGGTGTGTTTGTCCCACAGCAGCTTCAGCACTTACACACAGATCCAAGCCAAGGCTCCTTCCTCATCTTCACTGCTTTTCTCAGCTTCAAATTATCCGAGTGTGTTTAGCTTCTTCCTTCTCAAAGCCACATCCTGTGTCAGTGTACCCACACTCTGATTACACACACACACACACACACACATATGGCTTAGTCTGAGTAACACCACCTGTATTTTAACACAAACATGGCTGCTTATGAAGCGTCTTCCCCTTAAACCAGTATCTCACAGAGCTGAGGCCTGTTAGAGACTCTAGTTATTTGTTAAATCACATTCCTGAAGGAGCCTCTGAACCGTCTCCAACCATTCACAATCTGTCATCATCAGTGTTGCAGAGGCTCACATTTTCATCATGTTCCAAATTTCTGTTCTAAAACTGTCGTAGTCATGATCTCCTGTCAGAGGCTACAGCCCCAAATGTTGGCTGCCAAGCTGGGTACAATGTGGGCAACCAAAGAACTTGTTACCTGTAGCCTCACCACTCACCAGCCGGGTTTCCGTTCAATTTGAACGCACATTTTGAGCTAACTTTTAAAATGTTGCAAAAAAAAAAAGAAATGCACTTCAACTGGCCTGGATCAGATCCACTAGGCTACGCAAAATGAAGCCTGGTTGCAGCTTTCAGCCGCTGCAGTTAACCATTTCGTAGTTAGAAATTTATCACAAATGTGCATAGTGAAGCCTAGCTGTCTGGGTCACGGTTCAGCCTGGTAAACGCTAAGGTTGCTATGAAAATGTCTTTGTAATTTTACAAATTCAACAAGCTCAAAAAGCCCTTTATATAGCTTAGATATCTATGAAAATTCTCATCTACAATCCTAAAGGAAAGTTCAACACAAATCAGTTTAGAGTAAACACATTGAGGCTGGAAAACTGTAAATTTACCTGTTTAATCAGAGCAATTACAATGTTACAATGGCATTTCCATATCAGCCTCAGCTTTTTCTCGATAACCGCATTAGGTCGTCTTACTTCGTGCATTCGTGATCATTTTTAACTACGAAATGGTCTAACATTTTCGATTTCCATCTTTCTTTTGCACGTTTTGAACAGTTTTTTTAAAAATCCAAAAATCACCTCTAGCGAGCGTGAAAACGTTTTTGCGAATATTGCCGTTTCCATCCACCTTTTCTAATGCAATACTTCAAAATGCATTAAAAACGGTTGATGGGAACACGGCTACTGAGGACTCAGATCAGCAAGACTGCAATGGAAAAAAAATCACAACTTGACGTTTCCAACAGTCACAGCTCAGTGAGACGCTAGCTTTAATTAGTCGCACTACATTTTGCACATTCAGCTGGGACGGGTGGAGCTTGTGACCTGTTCTGTGATGTGAATTAAAGGGGAAGAGGTGAGACTTTCTAGTTGATTAATTTGTTTCATACGGACAGTTTGTGTCTTCAAGCATTTACTGTAAATGTTCTCGATGAAGCCAAAAGGCTGTACAGCGTTTTTAGATTCAGGACAGATGTTACAAAGTCATCCTTTATAAATGAAATGTTATAAGTTTGGGGCTGGGGCAGTGGTGCACACTGAGTTGTGTTTTCTTACCAGTTTCTCCATTTGAAATACTTTTACTGGTACAAAAACGTATTGTAATGTTTTGTTTGATTTATTTAGATGTTATTGTTCTTTCCTAGCAAGCATAAATAATGTTCTGTATGCCTGTTGCAGGTTTGCTCACTAGTTTTATGTCATTAAAAGCAAACTGTCTTTAAAGTAAAGGTGATGATGATGATGTGCTGGGCTCTGGAAGGTTGTAATTTTTTCATCACTAGTCTTTGTGAGGGGGTAGTGGACACAACTAGGAAACAAGATAAGACTTAAATCTAATCAAGAGTGTAGAATTGTCCATGGAGACAGATAACTATCATGATTCCCTCCATTCTGCTCATTTTTGTCTCATCCTGACACCACAGCAGATACAGAGTCAGAGGGTTGTTTTTGTTTGAACCATGTAAAATCTAAGCAGAAGGTAGAGATCAGGGATGAAGTCAGTTTGTTTTGTTCTGTAGGTTTAATGTTGGTAACAGGAAGTCATGTTCTGCCTTAAACATCTTTCCAGCACATTTGTTTTGGCATTTACAATTGATTTTGTTTCTGTACCGGATCTGAATTTTATTTGCCAGGTGTAGCTCCGCCCACAAATATTAAATGACATGTTTTCTGTTTTTATTTTCATTTTTTCTGTAGACTTTGGTCATCCATTCTTGATTAAAATGACTTTACTCTTACCTGTCAGCTGCTTGTTTTTATTGCTTATGAATGTTTTGGTCAAAGATTTATTTTCTGTGGACTTCCTGTTGGTGCACTTCCTGTTCTGGGTTAGTCCAGCTGTAAAAATCACCCTGACCTTTCCACAGCATATATAATTTGTGAACCAGAGGACTCTGGAACCAATCATTTGCTGAATGCAACCTTCACAAATAAACTGAAACACATGCAGAGTACATACTAAATTATTTGTCATTGTTGTCTTGTTCAATTCAATTCACATTCAATTCAAAAATACTTTATTGATCCCAGAGGGAAATTAGTGTTGTTGTAACTCATTTAACTACAAACTAAGCAAAAAAAAAAAAAAAACTAAGCAAAGTTAAGCAAAAGAACAAACTGACCAGGAGTGAGTCTGGAAGTCGGAGCTTACATTTATCTAACGAGTTTGAGTCAGGTTCTCTGGTCCTGCAGCTCTCCTGAGACTGAAGAACCTGACCCAAACTTTAGACAATGATCACCTGATGAGTTTTTCTTAGTTTGAAATTTTAAAGGAGACATGTCAGGCTTTTGGGGAGGGGGTATTATGCAAAATAGACGTTTAGCTTTATATCAAGTTATAATTTTATTCCCTTCATGTTTGAGAAATCCTTGAATGTCCTGTAGCCATGTGGAACTGTCTAAACGTTTGCTGGTACAAAGCTCCGCCTGTTTACACAAAGCTCCTCCCTGCCACCCCACAGAGCACTCCTCCCCTGTAGCATTGTTGTGAAGGCATGCTGAAGTGGGAGTGTCAGAAACGGCAGGAGGTTCTTAAAGAGACAGGTAAATTTTAAAGTGTTTAGATGGATTGTAAAGCAGTCAGTTTTTTTTTATTTATACAGTATTTTCAGAACAACTGAAAGTAACAATTACTCAATCGTAGTATAAAATGGATCTATGTGCCTGGAAAATACATACCGTATTTCTTCATGTATATTACGTAAAATGTAATCCATAAAATCATCCATAAAGTTGGGAGGTAGTATTATACTCGGAAAAGTATTTTTACTTACGTAATTTAACTGAAAAATCGGCAAAATGCCTGAGTCCGGAAATGAGACCGCGTTGTAAAAGGCAGTGGAAGCAAGTTTACCTCTGATACTCCTCTGTTCTTCAGAGCGAGATAATAACAGATCCAGGCAGGTGACATGATGTGAAAAAAAGCAGTCCTGCAGCTTAGTAATGATAACGAACTAATGACATTAGTGTGTGACCGGGTCGCTCCTGGAACAACAACAAACACATGTTCGTCTGTAATGGCTGCCGTCTACCGGTGTTCTGAAAAGTTTTGTATCCCTGAAAAAATGTTTCCCCATCAGAGGGGGCGCTCGCGAGTAGGAAGTAATCTGCTTTTCCCYCACAAGRTGGYYCAAATCTCATGTGAAGTCTCTGACTTTTGTGTTGGCGCCTCCTGGTGGACTATGTGTAAAATGCCAGAATTCATATGATGCTCAAAATCATAGTTTGCTGATATACTGTATATTGTCAAAATACCTTTTAGTACATATGTTGTTAAAATTAAATGAACAGTCCATTGATCATTTTACTGATATGTACGTATAAAGACTGCAAAGGCTGAAAAATCTTAGTCTGTATGAAATTGGAGGTAGTTTGAGGATTCCATTTTTTATGCTTTTTAAGCTAAAAAAAAAAAAAAGGGGGCGTCGCATGATCGTATTATACACTAATAAATACGGTAATACTCCCACCCCCCAAAATTTTTTTTTTCACATTTAACTCCTTCAGCTGGGGTCTATGTAAAGTGGAACTGCAATGCATTGGTCTGAATTGCTCCTGATTGTAACTCCACAAGCCCCTCTTTTACCTCTTTCCTGAAGTATGTCTCAGATCAGCTCGTTTTGAGGCTGTCTCTTTAAATCCAAACAAGAAGCTTCACACCCTGGCACCATCCAGCTTCCAGACCGGTTCATTCCAGTTTAACAGAGAGGTTTACCACATATTTTGCAGCACAGAAATGTTTTTATTCTATTTTTTTATGTGAACAAGGGAAGACTCCATCCAGCCTTACATGTTGGAGCCAGAGTCTGACCCAGAACCAGAGTCTGACCCAGAACCAGAGGAGAGTGAAGATGATGAAACTGTTCAGTTGTAAATACACAGCACACAGAGAGTTAATTCAACTTTTCTGCACTCCTAGACTCTACACAACAGAATGTATTTAATGGCTAAAATGTGTATTTTGCATAAATCTCCTTTAAATGGTATGGAGCCCAAATATGAAGTGAAACGTTTGTAGCTTGTTGGTCTGTGCATATGTTGTGAATTTGTGTATTTTTCAAATTCACTGAATTCTTGCAATTCTTGTGTATTTTAAGGTTGATTAGTTGTGGCAGCCATCTTCATTGACTCCAAAAGTTAATTTGTTTTGTTCTGAGTGTTTATTTAAAATTCACTTAGTGATTTCTGACACAATATATTTTACTAACAGTACAGACAGACACAAGCAACATGCTGGTGAAGAATGTGAGTCATCCAGGACACAGCAAATCCAAAACAATTAAAATAAAATAAAAGCAATTTCCATTATGTACAAACATTGATATACAAAATTTGATATTCTGCCTTCGCCTTCAGTGTTGGACATTTAAAAACAGACGCAATTATTAATAATGTAAAAACAACTAGAAAAATTGATTTTTTTTTTTCAAAAATGCAGCACCAATGCTTAATGCTGAAATACGTTTTGCTGAAAGCTGCTGAAGAAGCTGAATATATTTAATAGCAAAATTGTTAATGAGTTAAATTTGAACAGCTAAAACAACAGAAGAGAAAAATCAGAAAGAGCAAAAAGGAGCTGAAAGTAAATGAAACAAGTTAAAATTAACAGACAAGGGCAAAACAAAACAAGAAAACAAGTATTTGTAATTTATTTTGAAAAATAGCAAAGAAAACTGAAACTAAAATATTTAAATAAAAAAATCTCAAAGAAAACTGAAATTATGACAAAAAGGTGAATTTGGTATTTGGCTGATGAATCATCAGAAATTAGCTGAAATTAGCTGAAAGCAGTTGATAGAAGCATGGAAGGCTTAAATTAACAAAAATGAAAAGATGGAGGCTCCCCTGCAGGATAAAAGGCGTTTGAAGCCCCCTGGTGGTCAGATGTTGTAATAACACATTGGTATTGGCTGCGGTTCTCTCAGATCAAACAAAGCCACACATGAAGACAACAAGGTGCAGCTCTGTGTGTAAAAGCTGGTCTTCTAAACAAACATGTTTCATTTCATAAAGAGTCAAACGTGTCAGATATTTAGGCCCTGACTGAACATTTCCTCTGCAGTTTGTTTCTCACAAAGTAGAACAGGATATGACAAACGTATGTGCAGGATGAACTGTGTGTGTGTGTGTGTGTGTGTGTGTGTGTGTGTGTGT